AAACGTTAACAATGTATTATTGTTAAAATGTCTGCAGTGTCTGTTTCTGGAGCTTCATTGCCTAACAACACATGTTTTGTTGGAAACAAAACATGGTGTGGAAAGGGTTATGTATTTGTTTTAAAACTCAAACTGTTTCTAACAAACTAGACAATGTTATGTTAAATCTTCCTCTGAATATTCACTTTTGGCACATACTAGGTCTTCTGTTGACTTAGCACAGGATTTTGCCCACAAGATGCATTGAATCTGTAAAGCCACGTTTCTCAATCATGGATGGTGTACAGGCACATTATTGATAGACATGATGTCCAATGTAGTAAATTTCTTGATGAAATGAAAAATAGTGAGAAGGAGCAGAAACTCAAGCTTCACTATGGAAGACCATGGCCTGGCCCCCTTTCTGCAGCCGAGTTGTGTAATGGCACTCTTTCATCCTACGGTAGAGCAGTGTATGAAGAATACTTTTCATCCCTGTTACATGCTCCAAGGTAACTATGTAGGTTTAGAATAGTACTTATAAAAGTACCTTTTGAATTCTGAAAGAATAACAGCTTTTATTACATATGTTCAAAATTTTTGGTGTCACTACTGATGATGGAAGGAAACCTAAAATATCCCTTAAGTGTTTCCCAAAAGATCCAAGATGTAAAGCAGCTGAAAAAGCAGAATGACCTTCTTTAATCAATGTTGTAGTTGGTATGGAAACTTTCGACCACAGGCTTGGCTAAATATCTGGTTGGTTGGGATTTTTTTTAATCTTTTTGAAATACAAAATCACTTTCCTCAGCAACATTTTACAGGAGAAAAATGCATGTTACGTGGTAATTAGAAAAGTTATCAGCTGAGGTTTTGGGGGATCTAAGTGAAAACCTCTCAGTTCTGGTGCATTGAGATTTCCTGTTCCAAGCCTTTTTAAATTGGTGCAGGTGCTACTGTCTGGAATATATCCAGAGAAGCCATCTTTTGTGTGCGTAAATGGGAAATACCTCTTGTGTCGGCTATTTATCAATGGGAGAAACTGCTCTGACTAATGAGGAGCTATCCCTTTTAAAAGTTGCATGACTTAGTGTTGATTTTAAGTTGTTCATTCCTCTTCACTTCAGAAGCAACCATCTGTCTGGATACTGCATCCATTGTAATGGCCGCAACAATGCTCAGTAAGAGGCAGGGTAACCCTCTATTTACGTTTGCTGGAGAGGAGAGCCTGTGCAACTAAGGTACTATAGAGACTAAATAAATACAATTTGTAATCTGAGAGGAGGTAAGAGAAAGAGAATGCTTTATTTATTTTCCATGAGGTTTTGGGTTTTATGTTGCTTCTGTGTCATGGAGCACTGGAAGTCAGATGGGCTTTTTAATTAGGTGTAACAAAGACTTGGATAGTAGGATTGATCTCCATAAATACATCAAGAGAACAAACCAGAAGGACAGGGTAATATACACAAGCAAATGAGCAGTGTTGCCATGAGAACACATTGATATAAACTGCTATCGGTACACTTAAACTGGACAATACAAGAAGGCTTTTAACCATCGGAACAGTGAAGATCTGGAGCAATTTCCCAAGATTCACCTTGCATACTGTGTTCAGTTTGGGGCCCCTAATTATAAGAAAGATATTGAGGTGCTGGAGTGTGTCCAAAGAAGAGCAAGGAAGCTGGTGAAGGGTCTAGAGAACAAGTCCTATAAGGAGCGGCTGAGGGAACTGAGGTTGTTTAGTCTGGAGAAAAGGAGGCTGAGGGGAGACCTTATCACTCTCTACAACTACCTGAAAGGACATATTATCAAGGTTGGTGTTGGTCTCTTCTCCCAAGTAGCAAGTGATAGGACAAGAGGAAACGGCTTCAAGTTGTGCCAGGGGAGGTTTAGATTGGACATTAGGAAAAATTTCTTCACAGAAAGGGTTGTCAAGCACTGGAATGGGCTTCACAGGAAAGTGGTTGAGTCCCCATTCCTCGAGGTATTTAAAAGACAGGTGGATGTGGTGCTTAGGGACAAGGTTTAGTGGTGGGATGGCAGTGTTAGGTTAACGGTCAGACTTGATCTTAAAGCTCTTCTCCAACCTAACTGATTCTATGATTATTCCTTCCACTCCTCTACTCTTTCTATTTGGTTTTATCCAGTCCCATTACAAATGTAAGCTGTCTGTGACATCAAAGGAGTGGGATATAACAGAACTGTTACCTGTCCCAGGTGTTACCTGAAGCCCACAGTGAGTTTGAAAACTGATACCTTCTGTTGAGTGGGGCAAATGAAGTCGGTCAAGAGATTTATGCTTCAGAAATACCAGTTCTTTGATTGCCTGTTGGGGAGGACTGCCTAGACCTATCCCTGTATGTTGGAATTCAGGTTAGTGATATCATTTGCCTTAGTAGCAGATGATGCCAGAGCTTTTCTGCATGGACTGCAGCCTGCCACATTTGCCTGATGTTGGTCATGAGATCTTCACAATTACAGAGGGACTGAGGAAAGCTGCTGGAGCTCAATCCCATGATCTTTATCATGACGCAAGCCATATCATTTATGCAACCTCTGTTTCTCACCTTATCCTGAGTGCTGAGATCCTGAGTACTCTTGTAGACCACCAATGTAGATAGCAGCTGTAAAAAGTCAGGAAATGAATAGTCTCACAATATAGAGTACAATACTGATGTGAAAAAATGTCATCCTTCAGCATAGTCAAAGCTTATACTGGGGTTGGCATATTAGAGAGATCCAGTGTTCTTTAATCACATCTGAGGGTGTAATTGTAAGGGTGTAATACAATTAAGGTAGGTAGATGAAACACACTTAATCTCAACTGTACTGGCATCTAGTTTCAGTCTGTGTTCAGCAGTTATCCTTTGGTAATGAGGTGTCTCATATCGAGCAGGTCAGAGAAATTAGTTCTGAATTTATATCCCTGTAAAGATACAGGGCCTATGAGCTATGCTATCGAAGAAATTCAGAAACAGAACAGTCTCTTTCTGAGGACATATCTTCGGTTTAAGACTAAGTTGACCAGTTTTTGATTTATATTTCAAAAATCATCCGCTGCTTATACAAGAAAGTATAAAAGGATTGAAAAGAAAAAAAAAATAGAAAAAAGAAAAAAATGCCTTAAAACCTTTTAATTTTGTATATGAATATTTTTTCCTGATGTTCTCTTTTCACAGGCTCAAGCATGAACCGAAAACTCTTCAGATTTGTAATACAGTTTACTTTCTAGCAAAGTTTATGTGCATGAAAGAATACACTTAACCTGTTTTACTTCATGCTACAAATGAAATACTAGGGAAGACAGACATTTTCATCATGTGCATGAGTTTCATTGTACACCAAGTATCAGAAGCTGATGTTTTTGCTGGGTTTGTTTTTTTTTTTTTTTTTAATTTTGACAGTGTAATAGGTCTCCCAACCCAAATTCCATGTACTTTGTAGCAGATAGTAAGAATTAAAGATCCAGTACAGAATTTCTGTAACAACTTATTCCATTTCCTTTAGTGGTGCTTGAAGGTCTAAGATGAGAAAGGGTGGCTCTGTATACATTATCATTATAATTCAAACGAATATTCCAGGTAGTGGATTTTTTTTTTGCACAAATTTGGCAAACAAGCAAGACATCTGAAATATAGATCTTTAAAAACAATCTTTAGTTAAGTATTTTACTTAAGAGAATGTCTTTTCATTCCCTGAGGAAGTCAGATGATCTACATCCAGATCATCTACATCCATACAGTGTGAGAACCTTGTCAAGAACCTTGTCAAGAACCTCCCTGCCAAGATAATCTTGTATTTTACTTTGCCTTCCCATTTCAATTACTTAAAAATGCCTTCGAATTTATGCTAGAAAACTCTTGTAGGTTCCCAGCAGGGGGTGGGAAAAAAAGACAACTTCCTCTTTGGAGTTTGTGGGAGGATTTGTTGAGTCAACGAAAGTCTAATCTTCTGCTTATTTCTATTTTGATTGTGTAGTTATTTTGGATTTCAGTGTCTCCATTAACAGAACAAGTAAATACTGGTCTTTATCAAAGTGGGATAGAAAAATGTAAGATTTCAGTACCAACCCTGGATGACTGTAATGGAACTTTACAAGGAGGGGAAAAAATTATCTCTTGCTAGTTCATATGTCCTAAAAAGACTGTACTAAGTGCAGGACCTCTGAAGGTCCTCATTGTCTCTGATTACATCTTAGCAGGAAGATTTTGTTCAGAATATATGGGGGTTTTTATTCTTAACCTTTCTTCCAATTGAAACAATTCTGTCCATGAAGCTCCTGGTTCTTGCAGAACTAGAATGCCACCTGATGGATGATTATCAGTAAATATTTATTTGGAGGCTGTTAACACAAGCTCCAGAGGCAACATCCATATATAATTACCTGTCTCTTGGTAACTTCACTTTCCAGTGTTTGGGAACTCAACAAACTGGCTGTCGTCCAGGACAAATTTACAATGTATGGAAACTGCCCAAATCTCTGGTTGTCAAGTGAGATTAAAGACAAAATTTATTATGGAACAGATAACACTTTTAAAGAGCCAAAGCCAACACTTTTAAGATGGCCAAAATTTTTACATTGGTATCCTTACAGGGATGGAAAATAAATACATTAATTTACACATTGAAAACACTTTTTTTTTTAGCTGTAATTAAAAAATACCTGGATTACATTGATTTCCACAACAAACTTCATACCAATTTACACTTCCTCTTGCTTATCATGTTCGTGTTGGTTCCAGCTGAAACACACAAACCAATCACAGCAGGAGTGTGGTTGCACCTTACTAAGTGTAACAGTAGTACATTGGCTGCAGCAGCCTGCTGCTTGTGCATCTGTCAGGGAGAGCTGGAAGGGGTAGAGGATGATAGCAATTCACCTGAGGTTGCATGAAATTAAGTTGGCATATAGTCTAAGCAGCTTCCTAGTTTTCCCAAGATCTGGATGGTGGGCAAGAATAGCGTGATTCCTCATTTTCTCAGCACAGTAAGACACAGTATCTTAAATTTGTCTGTCTCAGGAAAAAGATGTGCATAACTTGGCAAAACTAGAGAACGGCTTCTCCTTGCAGCTGGAGAAAAGTATTGAAGAAAAAGTAGTTCTGTATGGGCATTTAGCTGAAAAATCCTGCTCTTGTCAGTTGTCCCTAGGCATTCCAGAAGTCCCTCACGGGAAAGCAAGTGAGTGTGCAAAGGTGAGGGGGAAGAGGTTGGGTACATTATGGAAAGGCAAATACAGAATGTCGTGAAAAGATTAAACAGCTGTGAAAGCAGGTTGCCTGTTGAACTCATTTGAATGTAGGGGGCAATGGCACCTTTCCCTGCTTACATTTGTAACAGTAACTCATTAATTTCCTTCCCCTCTACCCCATGAAGTACCTTCATATTATGTATTTTAGGTATCATATGCAGAACTGGGCAGAAGAGTATTCTGCATTTTGTAAATAACTGAATATGTGTTCAAATATTTCATGTCTAAAGCACTCCAAAACTTACTCTGACAAAGAGTGGCCAGCATTTCTGTAGTCTGTGTTTAAATCAGAATCCAAATAAATCACTCTGATACTCTCTGATGAATTTGGTTTACTTTTATCATCATTCTCCCTACTACACGTCATTGTGAAAAAAAAAGAAGAATAGTATCAGTCACTAGAATAGTATGCATCTGCTTTCTGTAATAATAAACAAAGCATGTAGGGTGTGATCCAGAGATTTTTAGGCCCAGCAGTGTGACTCACTGAGCTGGAGATAGCCTCCATTTTGTTCAATGGACTGCCAAAAGGTTGTTCAAGAAAACTCGCATGTTGACTGGGGAGCTTCCCAGAAGTTAGGGTGCCCAGATGGAGTAACATGTGCGAGACGAGGATACACATAAACGTTCTGATGCCTGTGCTGTGAACATGTCTTTTTTTTTTTTTTTTTTTTTCCCACACTGTAAAATACGTTAAGTGGTCTGAAAAATAAGGGTCAGGAATACCAGCGTACCCCCATTTTGCCCCTTCTGGCTAGGAACCCATCATAGGTGGGAAAGTGCCTCCAGTGGTAGTTACAAAGTAGGTATCAGGGGAATATAGGTATCTCTGAGTTGGAATTGCCTTGGTTAGAGGAAATTTAACTCAGGTCTGTCAACTCGTTAGTGAGCACCCTTGTTGATAGGCTGTTATATTCGGTTAGACTGGTGCCAGTCTTTTGTAGGACAATGATGGGTGTACACTGGACTTAATGCTTCAGCTATGTGTTATTCGGGGATCATGCAGTGTTTCCTCCAACTACACTGAAGTGAAAGTCCAGGGTACCAGAGAGCATGTAGGGACCTTTCCAGTTCAAAATGTTTTTGCCAAAATACTTCACTGCTTCCAGAACTAGATGGTCATGGGTGGATGACTTTTTATCCACACCTAACTAACTCTTTGGGGCTTGAGCAATATTTAGCATTTAAGCAATATCTAGGCACAGCTATTTAGAGTACTAAAGTTAGCACTGCCATTTGTGTGGCGGAAGGTATCGCTGAATACCATGAAAATGGGTTACATTCTGTATAAATGCTCTTCTTTCGCTTCAAGGTTTTTTCCATGCTGACAGTAAATTTCGTAATTGGTTAAAGACAATTATTCCATGACTTTAATTATCTCTATCACAGCTAAATAACTAAATAGATTAGTAGACATATGAAATAATTGTTGTGCTTCCATGCTTCTAGACACTTTGTAGTTAAAAAAAAAAATAAAGGCAAGAAAGGTATTTTCATGCTATTTTCATTTTCTCTGAATCTCCTTACAAAAGGCTTTTTAAGGCTTAACTATGAACATTGAGTTAGCTCTCCTTGACTGACCAACCAATGTTGTCTATGGCAGAAGTTCACAAGCTATGCCTCTGCAAAGCAGTGTGCAAACACTGCCTGAGGAGCCAATATTGAGACATGTTCCTACCCCAGCATTAGCAGAAGTGAAAAATAAATTTGGGAAGCCTGGCCCAGAGTGAATATTGTTACACACTGACAGCTAGCCCTACTGCAGCCGTGACTTAGTTGTGGTTAATTGCATGAATTGCTCAAGAAACTGGGCAGAAAAATTCTGTGGCTAACATGATTTGAATGCAAGAAATTTTATAACGAAGAACCCATTTATCTGTATAGTTACTAACTCTCCCTGTGCTTAGTGGTTTTTTGTGTTTTATCGCCTTTTTTTTTTTTTTTTGATGATTTCTCCCTACTTATGATTAGAATTGTTGTCAGTACAAACTAGATATGTGGAAATGTCCAGACTTTCCAATGTTTGGCTTATTTGTCAGTGTGGTATTCCCCTTGCTGCTTTCCACTTAAGGATTGAGCTGAACATTAACCAGCGTGATTGAGTATCTTTGATGGCATACTGTGAAAAAGATGCTAAAGCACTCATTCAGCAGCCTTTGTCAACACTCCAGATCGCAAATGAAGAACATAAATTTAAAAGTTGTTTATTTACAACTGAAAGGATGGCCTTCAACACATTGGATTGCTAGCTAAGCCTCTAAAATGCTGTTAGCTGAAATTATAGCTTGTGGCAATAATAAAAATCATTTGTAGAATGATCAAAAGTGTATACTTGAAATCTTTAATTTAAATTATTCTTTCCAGTATAATCATTATTTTATCCCTTTCACAAAAACAACTTAAATATTCAGTATTTAAGTGATTTCAGAATATAAAAACAACTGAATAATTTTTGAGCCAAAAATAGGAAGAAGGTCTTTGCTATAAAGTTCTGCTTCCAGTCTGCCATATATCTTCAATTTAATGCTGGTAGATGATGTGTGATTAAAACCTGTGGCCAGCTTTGAAAATCCCATTTTAGCTTAGAAGTAATTATATATGGAAATCTGTTATGAGTACTGTGTGGGTAACTTTCATTTATGCTTAGCAAAGTATAAAACTGGAATCTCTATTTATAAAGCTGTTGTTTAAGCTTCCCTTTTGTTATGTCCTTTATTTAATTCAGTCTATTCAAGTTTTGCTCAAACAGCAGGTTTGGTCATTAGTAAATAACACAAAAATAGCTTAGCTCTTTGATCTATACAGTCCTTACATACAATGTGCCTGTAGGCATGTGTAATATAAATATTTTGTAAGTGCAAATAATTAAAAGATTTTAGATAATAGGCATGTTGAAACTAGCAGTATTTTGCAGTTTTTCAGTTCCTTTTGGATGACACAGGGAACAAATAAGCAAGAAAAACCTCAAATCATCTCAAAATTTACAAAGCATTTGTTTTTAATAGCAGTTATAAAAATTACTATGATTTTAAATCCGATTATTTTCATAGGGGAAAAAAAGTGTATTCTTATTGATTTGCATAATTATAATAAGTGCAATGATTTTAAGGTTAATGTGGAGTGATTTTAATGTATGAGTTGTCTTTAGATCCAGTAGTATGAAAATTGACAAGATGCATCAGACTTCTGGTTTTATTTGGAGTGTGCTTCTGCTCTGATTAATATTGCTCACCTGATCTGGCAAAAAAAGTATTTCCAGTTAAAGAGTTTTGTTACTGTTTTAATTATTAGCCTGTTAGGTTAATCATCATCCTATGACAGTGACACAAGTCAATGAACAAATCTCATCTTCCTTTACATACTACTCAGTATTGAGGAACCCAATAATGAAATCATCAATTTCTGGCATGGAGTCCATCTCCAAAGAACATATCAGGGAAATGTCCTGAAACCCAGGGAGTATAACTGCTACTGTACTTTTTAACACTGAAGGTAGAACACCTTTTATTTAATTCTTGGAAGCAGTATAGTTAGTCCATTTTGGAGCTGTTTGTCAATAATTTCTTGCCTTTTTTTTTTGTAACAGTTCTGTCCCAAAAAGCGTAGTGGGGAAGTAGTTTGTGACTTGAGGTCCACTTTGGTTTCCTCTGTGATTCTGGAGCTTATGTGAGGAGAGGGAGATGTTTCTCTGACCACTTAAAGCTAGCCCTTAAACAGTTTTGAACTCTTATACAACTGCAAGGAGCTCTTTCAGAGGAGTCTTTCAGAGAGTAGCAGCATCGCTGTCACTGCTGTGTGCAAAAGACAGAAGTGGATGTACAAACACACCGAGGCTGGCCAAATTACTCAAGAGGAGGAACGTCAGCAGAACCAGATGCACACATTCCAGGTCTCACTACCCTTTCATTGGAAATCAGAGAACAGACACAGAGTTGTTGTCTCTTGTGCCTCAAGTGTGGCTCTGAGCCAGACAGCTTCATTGCATCTCCTGAGAGCTCAGCTTGTTCATTTATGTATAACTGCAAAGCTTTCTTTAGCATGAGATACAGAAGTTTTGTAAGACTATTAAGTACCTAACTTCAAGTTGGGTACTTATTCTCAATTCTTCACATAGGTAATTCTTCTCAATAGTTATTTGTACAAATATTAAATGAAAATTATCTCTAAATGCTAGTTATGTTGAAGCAAGAGGCATTCTCAAAAGACTTGCTGCATGTCGCATGTGTGCTTTGCTTAGAATATTTTCAATTTCTTTGTGTGTAAGTCTACCCATCAAGATGATCTTGTGGTGTCTGAAGGTACAGTTTAGGGAAAGCCAAGTGCAGGCTCCACCAAAACAGGCGGTCCTGGCTTGTACCGTCTGTAACAGAGCATTTCTGTTGCCTCAGTTACCTGGATCAGAAAGCTGGTCTGCCTGAAAAATAGCACAGGGAAAAAAAAAAAAAAAAGTTGGCTGCCTGGTACAGCTGGCTAAACCATCTCATCAGTACCAGTGCAAGAGGCAGAGGGAGGAGGCCAGATTGTCTTTTCCAGCAGCAGCCCACACTGGTTTTGCCTAAATGAATCAGGAAGCCATATTCTAAGAAAGCAAATTACCAGTTTTACTTGAGATGCAAGATACATATAAGATTTAAGAGATGTAAGATACAAGAGAAAGAATTACTTGTCATTTAACAGCTCTAGGGAAAAGGCCAGGCACTGTTCCGTCATGTTCTTGTAGCTCCCAAGTGATCTTTATCACTTTCTTAGCCCCTCCAGGTAACTATAATGATATTTAATCTTTTAAATCTGTGATTTTCTTTCTCTGCTTTCCTAGAGAGCTTAATCTATTTTGGTTTTTTTTGCTTTGGTCTTAAATTGAAAATTTGGATAGCATTTGAAGGCAAGGCTGGAGACGGGAGCTGTCTACCTGTCACAGGGAACAGACGGGCCTGAGAGACATCTTAGTTCATGCAAAAGCAAATTTTCTTCTCAGTCCTGCCCTTGTGGAGGCCTGGGAGCCTGCACAGGCAAATTCCATACTTGCAGTAAATGTACACCATCATTGGCTCTTGCTGACAGTTTCAGTCAGCTGGCACAAAAAGTTTCACAACCCGAAGCAACTTTTGATTATCCATAACTTAAATGTTTTAACATTCTGGAAATAAAGATCTGCAGCTTAAACTTGGCACAGGGCCCTGTGGGAAATCAGCAAAGCACAAGGAACAACAGAAGGCGAGGAAGTTCAGGCAGTGTAGCCAAGGAGACACCCAGGTGCATCACAGCTAGTTATCTGGTGCTTTCCTGGCTGAGTCCCACAAGCCTGTGTGAGCACATTGCGTTGCTGTTCCTAATAGGATCTAGGAGGGGAATGTAGTGCCAAAGCCAAGCTGCCACTCCTGAGAGGCCAGGGCACATCACTTAGAGAAAATATGTTGTATTGCTGCTTCAGATCTCAGTATTTGGGCAGAGTCCAGTTGTGGTTTTGCTTGCAGTTTAAGTACCCAAATGTAATGGCTGTGATTATGAACTTTCTCCTTTTATCTTGCTGTGATCTGGTATAATTTCGTTCCTTATCAACAATTATCTCATTAGAGGCACAGGTTTATCAAATACCTTATCAGGTGAATGACAAGTATTTAGTTAGCTTTATGTTGATGATGAAGAATATTGCAAAGTTTGTCTCTTGTTTGGTATCTGTAAACTTTGCAGAAACTCATGTAAGCAGGATGCTGCACAAGAAATCTGATGGCTCAATACTAGGTTTTCCATTATTACTCTAAAGGTACTTGCTTCCAGAAAAGATCAATTAAGTGTATTTCTGTGGATCCCTGCCATGAAGATTATACTATAGTGGTACAAGTATGTCCTCATGAAAGATGAAGAGTATTGTTGCGTCTAGACTTCATATACGAAAAACATTGCTACAATCTCTTCTTGTTACTTCATGTTTGGCGATTGCTTACTTGGGGTTTCTTGTTTTTTTTTTTACTAAATAGACTTGGATTATCACTTGCTTTTGTCTTCAACTACTCCTACTTAACCCTCTTGTGAAAGCTCAGAGTTCCTGCGGGAATCCAGTGACAGATGATGTGAATGACATTGCAAAATTGGTAAGTAGTTTTATTTTAAATTATTCTTTATGTCAAACAATAATCAGTGGCTAATGGCTCTTGCATTTTAAGCAAAGTTTGCAAATCTATATTAGAACCAGGGGAATATTAAAAAAAAAAATAAATCCATCAACATCTATAACTTGATCAAAACCAAAACCTTTATTGCAGAGACTGGAGAATAGTTTCAGAGTTCACTGAAGAGACGACCTTCTTGACCAAGCTGCAGTGTATGTACATATATGGTTTCCTTCCTCCAAACTTCAATAAAAATTGTCAAAAGTCTTGATTTCCTCAAACATTGTCTGGGATCAGATTGCTTGCCATGCAGATGAAAAATTTTTGTCTTTGCGTTACTGATTTGCATGGAGCAGGCAGGTTGCAAAAGCAACTGAAATGAACCAGGATTCTTTACCTTAGGTATATGGGAAACTTGTGCCATATATAAAAATAGTATGATATTAGACATCGTTGTAGCAATTAAGGCAATAATGATTGAACAACTCTTACAGTCTTTAGGTGTGAGTGGGCTACACTCATTACATGTTTCTCTCTTTGCTTGCTATACCTAGACGTTTTAAGTCTGAAGGACTTATGGCTTCGTATAAGAACTGACTTCATTTAAGTACATTTTAACTGTTACCTAATTAACACTGCATTAACCTGAAAAACTGCATCCCCTTGTGTGAAGTCATTTGGTATTTAACTCCACTGAAGTCAGTGATTATGCTAACTTGCAGTCATACAGGATCTAACACCAAAATTTTTAAGATATAATATATACCGAACCTTAACAAGCATACCTTCATCTACATAATAACTTCAGCTGAAAATTATGGCTTCATTATGGAAAAACAGTTGCAATACCAGTGTTAAATATTATCAAACACTTCATTTGAAGTCCCTTGCATTTGCTGCCCGTGCAGTGTTCTTGTTTTCTTTGGGCGTTGCTATATACATTGGCACATAGTGTAAATCTTGGGGTGTTCTACAGTCCTACTCAAATGCTTAGTGCCTCACATTTGTCCCTTTAGGCAGAATTCTGAAGTATTGGCATGTTTATTCAAGATAATATTTCATCTCTTGAAAGAGTTTTAAGCTTTGATTTCAACCTGTTGAAAGCATGACAGAACAACAGAACTCCTGTGAGGGCTGGTGAAATTGTCTACCACAGTATTAGCAGTAACTTTTTGTCAGTTATGTATCCTCAGAACACATGCTTTAACTTTCCCTTTAGTGCAATTTAAATTTCAAGAATGTATAAATACAGGTTACAAAAATTTCGTGCAGCTTGAGCAATCACACTTTGCTTTTGAGGTAAATTATGAAAGAAACCCAGTACCATAAAAATTAGGTTAGTCTTTAATTTGACTGTAACTTTCCATACTGTGTTGCTACATCTTCCTCCAGACTAGTCTAGCAGCTGCTGTTCTTGCACATATCTGTGCAGCACTATGCTTCCATACCCCACCCTCCTCCACATCTCCTCTTAGTTCTCCACATGCAGCATGGTTGCTAGCTCCCTCCCATGTCCCCTAGGCATGATCCCTACCTGAGCAATGTTTTGAGCATTTGCTGGATTTATATCCCCTTTTGCTTGGGCTGCTGGCTGGGCAGGAAGGATTTTGTGTGGTGACTGTTCTGTTGTATGTGCTGCTTGTCCTGGAAGAAAACCTATGCCAGCTATCCAGGTTGCACTGCACTTCTGCTGCTGCCAAGCCTGAGCAGAGCGGGGTAGGGCTGAGCTCCTCCAGCCACTCCTCAGTGAGGATGCTGTATGGTCCTTCTCCTGACTCACACCCATACCTTTCAGATCTCTCTGCAAAGTTTTGGTGAAGTTAACTAGAAAGTTCAAAGATATTTTGGGTTGGAGAAATAACAGAGATGCAGAAAATACCAAGCCCAGACACCTGGATTCTCTCTGTTTTGAGTTGTGTGTCTGAGAATGTTTTGAGGAAAGTCTGTATCCCTGTTTTGTCTGTCTGTGTTAATATTTGCATAGATTTTTCATGCAGAAGTAATGTCTATAAAGCCACTTGAGAATTGAAAGGATAATATGGAAATAAATTTAGTATCTTAAATTTAGTATAAGAGCTCTTGGTTTCAATTAAACTGACTATATTGCAAGCTGGTAATTCTCTTTTGAAATGCTACACCATGACAACTTGACATTGAGAACAAAAAAAAATATAGAAGGTATCAAGAAATTTTAAAACAAAATATGATTAGCTGACAGTGTGAATACGAGAAGGGAGAAATTCACAGAGAACACTGACTGATCACATTACTTTACTAAAAAGTGCAATTTATGCTATATGGAGTATGTCCTTAGTACATACAATATGGAATCCAACATGATATTGCTTAAATATATAGTTCAGGAGACCCTACAACTCTTGTGAATTACTGTAAATGTTTTTGTACCACTTCTTTTTGAAACAAACTATACTCATTGAATTAAGGAATGATATTCTGTTGACTTACATCTTCAAAATTAGACATAGCACCCATAGGTTGGGTTCTTTGTTGATCCTATTGGCCTTTAAAAGTCTTGTTTCTCCACTGATCCAAAGAGTTTGTGCCAGTAGGATACAATGTCTTTAATAAATGTCCTCCCCTTTCATACTGAGAATAAATTGTAGCACCGAGGGTTTCACAGGAGCTGTCATGTGTGTGGTTATTGCCCATAGTTATTGTGATGTTATTCACAAGCTCTATGACACTTGCTGAGAGTGGTATGACAGTTGTTTCTAAAGGCTTTATTCTTGACCACACTGCCATGTTCTTTAAACCCTCCACAGTCACGAGTATAGTCCTGTGTCTGTGAGCAATACACTAGCCATTCAGCAGTAGCACACAAGTCCTAACATTTAGCTTAGGGTATTGGCCTCTCTTCCTCTTGTCTCACCACAAATGCTTAGACATCAGCTTAGATTCATTATAGCCTGAATCCTCCACTGAGGCGGATTATTATTTTTTCATCTCCCCAAAATGTTAGTCTTCCCCAGGCCTTTTCTCCTCACGGTAAAGGTATATCAACATCTCTCTCCAGCCATTCAGGTCTTGACACTTCACAAACCCTTATAAGTTCACTATTAACACCTCCAGGTTTTTTCCTGTCATAACAGGAAAAAAAGCTTCTGTAGCTCTCTGTCCATACAAAATCACTTTTCTTCCAAATTTGTGGTGGATAAAAATCCAGTCTACTGAAAAGTCTTTTTCTGGCTTTGACTTCTATAATTTTGCCCTTCTGTCTGTTAATTTGCTGCTCTGACCCTGTATCTTCTACTTTCTTCCTTCAAGTTGTTCCTCCTTTTTTTCATTATCAACGGCAAGCTTCTTGGTTTTGACTTCAAAGGCAGTAACTATTAACACTGCCTGTGATGTCTTAACAGCCTGAGTTTGTCCTCTTGTCCTAGCTTCTCCTCATGCTGTTTGTGTCCACCGGAAGGATGCTCCTTGATGAACTCCAGGCAGATTCTCCTCTTCCCATCTCATGCTAAAATTCTTTGCAGCATGAATCCATGTCCCTCTTCTTTCTTTTTCCTACTCTGTTCTTCCCTACCTCTACTGCAGTTCACCAACAGCTTGCAAAACAGTACCACAATTACCTACCAAACTCTTTTTCCTGTAGCTTGATACAACCTAGTCTTCAGTTATTTGGTTCTGGGCTTCTTGTTCCAAGTACTATCTGGTAGAAAATCCCTGAGCATAGTTGTGGTTGTGTTCTGCTCAACTTTATTGTATTCTAGGAATATGAGAAGAACATGCCGCAGTCAACACTTTCTGTGAATATAGACCAGGGGTGTCTACTAAGCCTAAGCTACTGGAGAATAAATAAGGCACGCTCTGCAGTGTCTGAAAATGTGGGTCATTTGTCTAATCAACCTTGTGTTGAGTGATAAATTGAGAACAGATGTGTGGTGTAACTTGTTTTCAGTGGTGTTAATCTGGATTTCCACTAGCATCATAGTAGACTCATACCAGAAGCTTGAATCAGAAAGAAAGAGCAGATTCAATAACAGTAAGTTTTCTGAACATTAATCAACCTAAGACCAAACCAGACTGGTAACTGTTCATGCAAAAATTACTTGCATTCTCTATAAGATTAAATTTGTTCAAATCTTTATGATATAATTTTGTCCTATGAGGAATGTGTCCTAAATAAAATTATTTTAAGAAGGAAAGAACAATCAAGCAATTACTTTTTGTTTGGTTTTTTAATACTGAGAACTTTAAAAGAGCATAATTTCATGCCTATAGAGAATGAAAGTATTTAGAGAGTGTTCATTCTGCATTACTAATCACTTGAACTCCTGGTTCTTTTTTAATGAAGCTGTCTGGAGGGAAACACATTACTTGATGAACAAATGTTCCGTATTATGAAACTCTAATTGCAGCACCTGTCAATAAAGCCTGTCCCCATTTTTCTTTTCAGCACTCTGTTGTATATATGTTTGTTAAATACGAACATCAAACCTACATATAAGTAGAATTTTCACTGAGCTGTGCAGTATGTATAGAATGTACCTACATGTTTTGGTTTCATCCACTAATAAAATCTAAGATACTCACCTCTTCTTCCGTGATCTACTTCTCTAAAGCAATTTTTTTCTTTTGAATGCTGGAGGCGCAAACAATAGTCAGCATTTACTGACCAGGTTGCTTGTTTGAGACATGCTGTTTCAAACACTCTGCCTTCATATTGCATCTTTGCTGTAAATGTGTACTTTACAGTCTCTGCAACATTTGATATTTATTTTTAAATGGATCTAACTCTCCTGAGTGAAGGGGTTATAAAAAATGATCCAGTGTTGTTATCCTGCAAATAATCTGCCACTATGGCTGTAAGAAGTGTGAACGGAAATCGTTAGCATGTTGTCTTAAGCCAAATGATGAGGATTTCATTAACTGCTTCATTAGCAGATAAGATAGAGTAGATTACAGAGATGGTGGACAGAAAGTGGAAGCCCCTGCAGAAAAAGAAAAGCCAAGCATGCAAAGAAGGGAGACACAGAGGTATTAAAGAGTAGGAAGAGGGGAATGACAAAGAGATAAATGGGCGGTAGAAATGGTAGCCAAAAGGAAAGTATGGGGTTTGCCATCATATGCCTCAGAGTAAAAAAGATATCACTGACAATGGTAAATGGTGATTTTTATGTTATTAACTTACTTTATCTTTGATCTGTGTGTAAAGAAAATAATGATACCTATGCTTGTCTCCTTAAAATTTTCAGAACAGTCACAATAAAGAGAATTTCCGAGAGCAGTAGCCCTCTTTTCAAAGCACTTGACTGCAGAGATAGGTCATCTCTCTTATTTTCTGCTGTTGCAATGAAAGAGTGGTTTATGGAACCCAGATGACTTTTACAACATCTCTTTTTCATCTCCCCGTCTGTGTGACCATAAGCATATTTTAGAAGTATATTTGGGTTATGCAATGTTAACAGTGCTGTATTAAATATTCAGACCTCTGTATGTCAAAAGCAATCTCACATTCCCCATTTTGAGATTTTGTTACAACAGGGAATATAGCACTTGATGTTGGTTTTATATGAATTTAAAGATGTAAATCTAGATTCCTTGTTCTTCACCTCTTAGAGCCAGATAGGATTTCTACATTTCTACAACCACACACACCCACTAAATCAGAGGAACTTTTTGTGGCATTTTAATTGCAATGCAGGGTTCTTTTAGTTCTATACATTACTTTCCAAGATTATCAGTTGACATTCATTATAATCATCAAAACTGTTACTTTTGTCTAAACCAAGGTAAGTCATGCAGGCAGGTGTTCTGTTGCCCCCAGATTTGTCACTGTACTTAAAGGAGTTGAGTATAGGAACCAAAAAAGCCATTCCAGGACTCAGGGAGTTTCAAGGGACAGTCCCTTTCCATCCCCCTTTTCTCAGGCAGCTCAGAGCCCTCTTGTCCTCTGCTCCTTGGGAGCCGCAGCAGTCAGGCACCCTGTGCAGAGCCGGGTGTGCAGAGTCCTTTCATTCCTTTCAGGATCATTTCAGTAGTTGAAAATCAAGTGGTTCATTTTGGATCATAGGCTTGGTGGTTAGTATTCCATGAAATTTCAAGATTCATTTCAGACAGCAAGAGAGTATAAAATGCACAGATTTAGTACAAACATATCCTTCACTCTTACATCAGGGGCTTTACCCTATTTTGTGTGTGTGAGTTGGGAAGTCCAACCGGGACACAAATATAACTCCCTCGCTTTAACTGAGCTCCATCATTTACCACCAGCAGAGCATCTGGCATGTAGAATTTAATCAATAAAACTTTAACAAGTTGTTACATCTTGAGGCAGGGCATATATTTTGTGTTTGACACCCTCCCCCCCAGTGAACTTCATTTTTAGTAGTAAATTCAAAAATATCTTTTCTGATTCACAGTCTGTCAAGGAGACAAATATCTGAGGCTGAGCTGTATTCTCTGGCTTTGTTTTAGAAGCTCTAAGAGCTCTTGGGCAGTTGCATTTTTTTAACTGTACATGAAAAGTGCTTGACAGGCTTTGATGCCAGTAAAGTAGATTGTATACATAATGCATATCAATTTTTGTAGTGTTCATTGATTTGGAACAAATTTAATCTTCCAGTGACCTTTCTTAAAGAACGGTGCTTTTGCTGACATTGCTAAGTATTGAATCCCTCTAGAGTGAGTATGGGAAACTTTGCACATACAGTAGCATCTTCATTACCTTTGCTGCTTGAAGTGCTGCTAATCCTACCTCTCTAGGCACGCAAAGGAAGCTGGAAAAGAAACTGGATTACCTATTAATGTGTCATGATGTCAGGATGGTTTTAGAGGAAGGAAAAATATACCAAAAATTGTGGATGAGGATTTAAACTAAATCAGATGTCCTAAAGAAAGAAAAATGTATTTCAATATTTTTCAATATTTATAACATCTTGAATCAACTCCCCAAAATGCCAGGTGAATAGAAATTGATATAGAGAATTTTATCGGCACTTCCGCAACTGCTGCTTTGGGAATGTGTAGTTATATAAAAAAAATAAGGAAAATTGATCTATAGAAAGGATTTTACCAGGATCATTTGTATAAAACTTGTTTTTTAAAGCTGTAGAAGAAAGCTAGATGCCATTGAACTGAAAGATTGTGGCTCAGCCCTCGTTGTAAATAAAAAAATGTCTGGAATTCACTAGTGACAGACGATGCATAAGTACTGTCCTTGATAATTTCTAGAACCATAACATTTTGAAATTGCTGTTTTAATTTTTAATTTAAACTAAATTTTAATTAACAAATAAAACATTCTGTTGTGTCAAGTAAAATACTACCTAAAATCTGCACAGGAAAAAAAATAATCCCTGTGCTGGTTGCTATAGAAGCAGAATGAAATGCAGCCATAACAGAATGATCTTTAACCTGAACAAGTGGAATTTCTTTGCTGAACAAAGTATGGATTCTGTTTCACCAAAGGAATTAGGTGCTTATGGTCTTCTGACTAAATGGATTTCCAACGAGGATGAGAAATATCAATTCAATCTTTCACTGATACAAAAGCAAATAGCTGTATCACTAAGCATCATAGTATTGGTAAACCTTTTGAAAAAAGTTATTTGAGAGATTGTGGATTGTGGCAGCGTCTCCCTCTTCATCTCCCCACTCAGCACATTCCCCAGATGATCAAGCACACCTCACAGTAGTGTTGGATCCCATCTGTGGCAGACTGTATTGTATAATTCAGTGAGAACCCTTCTTCCACTCCTTGACCTTGCTTCAGCACACCCCGTACTCACCCACATCTGCAAAGCCACGCTCAGCTTATGTGCGTGGAAGCTCTCCTTTGCCCCAGGACGTTGCTATGATATAATTATATTGTAAGATGCACAGCTTCAAAGTTAAAGTTGTGCTCAAGTGTTTTTCTGGTCTCTTACATAGCTAACTACAAGGCAGGCAAGTATTTCTTTAGGTTCAGCTGCTTGCTGAACTTGGAAATTATTTGAAGGAAAAAGGCTTAGAGACTACAGGGTCCTCTACTGTTTGGAGTGGTTGCGGTTACATAGAAAATGTTATCTAAACACTTCAAGACATGCCATTAAAAGATGAAAATGCAGTGGCGTTGCTGATGTAATGAATAACCTCAGATCACTTCTCCTCACCACACTACTGTCTTTAATTCTGTGGGAAGTGGTAGCATTGCACATGATCATATCTCATCTGGGAATGTTACAGAGGTGTGAAAAGGTGCTTCACTTGTGAGCAAATAAGAGTTCCACAGGAAACTGAGTTTGTAAGATTTTGCACCTGGTAGGTACTGAATACAGTGACAGAAATTGTCTTACTTTATGTAATCAGTAGTAACATTTTTATTATCTCTTTATTGTAGGTTGGAAATCTCCCAAATGATTATATGATAACCCTTAGATATGTCCCGAAGATGGATAGTCTGGTATGTACAACTACTTCAAGTTAATCCCAATAAAATAGCCCTCTGGAACCAATGATGGCCTAATATTTTGTACCTAGTCCTATGGCTTAGTAAGTTACAGTTAAATAATGATTGTTTCACTTTTCATATACTTCACAAGTATCCATTTAAAAGAAGCATAGAGAGATTCCTACAGTCACTTAAAATCTTTTTAAATACAGGAATGTTAGAAAAATGTTTCTTCATATTAAATTTTTCAACATTTTCTATGGAAAAAGTCAAACTACACAATTAATTCATCATGTCAATTGACAGTTGTTGCTTTGTTAAAGAAGTAGTTTCTTTCTACTTATATTTTGGAATATACTGTAGAATGTCCTTCTCATTTCAGCCAGAGGAAATGCCATTAAAGCACAACAAATACTGAGTAGCCAATAAAGAGAACCCTAAGTTCAGCAAATGGTAGCATCAGTAACTAAACAAACCAGTAGAAAGTGAGGATGTTGTTTCATTCGAACATGCTTTGTCTTATTCTTTTTATGTAATCCCATAGTTAATACATAGTAATACTTTCAAATAAGCATCACCTAATTTCTTTAAGATTTTATAACATTATTTCATATTAAAAACTGTTTCATATTATTGCTTATTCTGCTAAATATTTTTGATGGTTTTCCTTAATTTAAAAAACATATTTTTAGAATGATGCATTGCAAATGCTCTCTTGGTTGTTGCATGCATTGCAAGAATAAGGAGAGAAGGAAACAAGGTGAAAGTAGAAATTATGCTGAATGTGGTACTGTGCTATATTGTTTTAAGGAAAGAAAAAAGTAAGAAAAAGACTACTTTGTCAGTTAAACTGAACAATATTGTGCCTGTCTTAAGAATGAATCATTGTGTACATACATCAGTAGTTTGGAAATCATCTGGTAGATGTAAGACGCTGGGTTTTTGTCTGTACGTAATATGCATTATGAAAATACAGTTTGTGCGTTACACATATAAAAATGCATCCTATCCTACCACGTTGTAGCAAATGTAGCAATATTCCCTATTGATATTGGAGAACGATGCCAGAAGCAACATTCTCTCAGTCCTGCATAACAAGAAGATGGCTGGAGGAAAAGGAGGCTGTGGGGTAGTGAAGGGCCCTGAGCTGTGAGGTTATCACGTATTATGGCAGATCTGGCAGTGTTCTTATGAGTTTCATTGGAAGCTTGAGGCTTTCACTAAAACGTAGAGTACTTTAGAAAACCCAGTTTGAACTTGACTCCTTAGACAGAAAAACTCTGCAGAGCGAATGCTATGGAAGTCAGGTACTAGATCCTATATAATATAATTAAAATGAATGGAAAAATTTTCATTTCTGAAAATAGCTAATATGCAGAGAAAAAGGAATACTGGCTGCCACCAACCCATTGCTGCAGTGATTTTTGAAATTCAATGATTTTGGTGCCTGATGAGATGAGATTCACATCTGTGAGGACAGCTGTAGCCCGAGTGCTGCTCCTCAGCCTCCGGGATGTGCACAGCAGCTGATGAGCTGGGCTGGACTGGGGCTGTTCCCTCTGCTGCGCTCCTGGGGAGGTTGGCACTGCGGATGAAGAAGGCAGGGAGCCTGCTTGAGCGATGAGTCCTGGTTGTTCTCACTGCTTAACTCTTACCTTGCCCTGTGGTTCAGTTTTGGCTGCCAATACAGTTTCTTTTCTGTAGTTTAAATGCCAAGTCACCTTCCTGTATCATATACATAAACTTAGATCCATTTTACATTTATGATGAGCGGCCAAGAAATACATAGGAAGACGAGAAGTTCAGAGCCGGGATTTCCATATTTCTTTTGCTCATACACCACTTTTAGTCTGGTGATGGAAGGTGCAGCTCTTGGCCACATGCCTTCACAGGAGGGAGTATTCAGTGGTATTCACACCCCACTTTTTGCCAAATTCCCCTCTGGGGATTTCCGATTGTGTTACTCATACCACAGCAAAGGATGGCTGAATAAATAGGTTTTGCCCTGGGTTCTGCAAGGTTCCAGCAAGCTGGGAAACCCACAACTTTGCATAAGGTGAATGCCCTTTGTTCAGCTCTGAAAGGATTAAACGGTGCTCTGAAATTTTTTTCAATAGTTTTCAATTTTCAGTGCGTGCATGAAGTGGGAAATGTACCTAAGGTAGCAAGTCTCAAATGTAGATGACTAAAGGTAGGAAGGCAGGGTGAATGCAAAGCAGATGCGAAGCCAGTGTAGTGCATGTAACAGGAACAGACTGACCCGATCCATTAAACAGAAGGGTTGTTGCATTATGCACTAGCTCAAGGCAGCTGAGTGGCTTTAAAAGTAGTCTCGCATGGAGTGAACTGTGTAGTCTAACCTCAAGGTTAAAAGGCAAAGATGACAGCAGCAGGGGCTGAACTCAGAAGAGGAGTTAAACTTCAAACTTTTAGATAAGTGTACAAAGTAAAACTCAGTGAGGACTACCTGGAAGTACAAGGGAAGTCAGGTTTGCAATTGCCCTAAAATGTAAATCTTTGTCAAAATTTACACAAAAAAACAGAGTTAAACCTCCATTTCTCCTTGCAAACAAAGTCACATTTCTCTATTTCAGCAGTTCCATCCCTGTGTTTGGTAGGTATTAAGATAGCAAGTGACTGCACAGCTTGATATTACTGAAAAGAAAACTTAAGCTCTCATGAAATACAGCTTTGTAGGTCAGAACGGTTCAGTCAGAGGAGACTCCCACGCACATGCTAAACCGTGGGAGCCACAAAATAGATTCCCTGCTGGAATCACCAAATGCTCACTAGGAGAAGCAGCAAGCTTTTGCTAGTCCCTGCCAGAGGAGAATGCACACCCACAAAACAGAGGAAAAGGGTTTCCAGGTTTGCAGTTCAAGGAAGCACAGAAGTTCTGTGTCCATGTTCCTACACCAAAGCAGAGGAAAATGCATTGTCTGTGTCATGAGGGACACGACATGTCGTGAGACAACACATACTGCTTGAATGGAGTACATGTCAACAAGCTTCCTCTGATTTATTTGCTTCTGCCTCTCCCCTCCCATTGTTGTGCTTGAAGGAAAAAAAGGGAAGCAGAATCAAGCCAAACACCATCCATTTCACATATAGTTTCATTCTTTTTTAAGTCATTGTTGAAATAATTACAGGTGATAATATTGACTTGCCACTTGTTATCAGTGTGTGAGAGAGTGGAACACAAAAGTGAAAAGTCAGATGGAGCTGAAAAATGCATTTACATTTGGTTCTCTAAGCCTGGAAGCCTCATAGTCCAGTTAATCTTTGAAAGTATGGTATGTGTTTTTCCTCATCAAAAACATTTACACATCAAGGCAGAACAACACCTGTGCCACCGAGAAAGTAATTTGTCACCAAGTGATGATATTGATAGTAATGGATAATTTTTTTTTTTTTAATGAAGAATCCATATACAAGTTTATTGCAGAAATTGAGTGAAATGAGATTAAGTCTAGAGGAGGATACATCACCTAATATTTACTGTACATTGCAGAAGGTGGAGTGGATGGATTCAGTGGATGGTTTAGTGATACTGAGAGTACTTAGGGGTTGCTGGGCCAAGATTTTCATACCTGGCAGGCTTTAATAATCCTGAGACATTTTCAACCACTGAAAAAAATAGCTTCACATAAATTCCCATAACATTTACCATTAAAAAATCAGCATTTATTGAGAAGGAATTTCCAGGTATATGTTGCAGTGTGACTAATGCGTTACCTGTATTTTTGCTGACCATACTGAGTAAGGGTTTTTCCTGGGCTGGGTGCCTTTTTCATTTACTTGACTACTGTTATATAAATCTAAGTAAAAGTTAATGAATCCCTTTAAGGCAGCAAGATGAATGACCAGGTTTCCATCACATGAACAGCTGTACAAACTATATCTGCAAACTGATTGCATGGGTGTTGGTGCAAGGATCTGAACTCTATACCAGTGACACAGATGTGGCAGGTACCGTGACAGTCTCTGCAGAACCCTTTTGTCAGCAAAAACTAAGGAAAAGAAAGACTTTTAGATCTAGAAGCTGTTCTCAGGAATGGCATTTAGTGAAAAAGCTGAAGAAGAGGAATTAACTAAGCTAACTAGTTTAAAGGTGGATAAAAGCACACATGGATTTAATGCAAAACATTTACAGAAACTTTCCTCAGAAGAGATTTAAATCAAGGATCTTTGGGGTTAGCTGAGTCATATAGGGTAACAATAATAAAATGAAAGCTGAGATTGGTTTAAATAAAGTCTGGCAAAAATTGTTAAAACAGTAGTTATTTTAAAAAAAAAAAATGTGTAGGTTAATGAAAGCTCGGAAGAAGCTTCATAGTAGGATGACCCAAGGCTCAAATTCTCAACAGACTGATGCTTAGCATTCATTAAGAATTTAATGAAGGGATAACATTTAACAGACAACAATAAGTATATAAGTATCAGTGAGAACAGAAATTTTACCAAAAGGACTGAAGAGAAAGTTGGCTACACTAAAGAAGACAAATTTTAATTTAGACTTTCAAGATAATTTAAATTGGAAAGAACAGTCTAATCTAATTTTGCACATTGAGCTGCTTAACCAGTTTTTGCGCAAGTCTGATATTTAATCTACCTCTATGTTTCTCTTTTTATCCCCGACAGCCTGATTACTGTTGGCTGAATTTGATGGTGCCTGAATTTTCAAAGAGTCTACATAGTCTGCTCCAGAAATTTTCAGATATTTCAGATATGTCTGATGTTTTAAGCAACTATTCAATCATCAATAATCTCACAAGGATAATTAATGATCTTATGGCATGCCTAGCTTTTGATAAAAAAAAGGTAATCTTATACAGAGTTTCTACTTTTATGCTGGATATTTTTACTTGAACTTTCTGTTGCACAGTACTCAGTAATAGTTTAAAAATGTCTAAAGCTTCATGAGACTTATTTTCATTTCTATTCCTGTACATCTGAAATCCTACTTTGTTTAGAATTGCACTAAGTACACTGTGCTAGAGTTGGCTAGTTGTTATCTTCTGTTTCAAAGGAAAATGGCTTACAAGCCTTACAAGGCTTACAATGACCTGTATACAGTTATCTAAGTAGTCAAAAATGTAACCGTCATCCTTAAGGTAATTAATTCATTCTGGTCTGTTTGAAACTGGCAGAAATCTTCCTTGTGCATCCAGCTTAAATTATTCATTTTGCTAGTGATCCTAATGTAAATTTAAAGATGATGCAGTTGAAGCTATTAATATACTCTTAGTATGTATCACAGTGTGTGAGGCTCTGAAAGCTTCACCATGGTTTAATGATTTTTTTTTATATAAAGACACAGCAAAGACTAGAGGATATAAGCCCATTTCCATGTGTTTCTGGATTCCAACAGCAGCTGGAAGGATTCCAGGAGTCTTACTCAAGAGATGTCTGATTCTCTTCTGTGAAAATGGTGGGGGAAAAAAAATTAACTTTCTAATCCCTTACCCAGCTCTAACCAGCCTATCAGTAATTAAAAATAAGTTCTGTAGTCGAAGGTTTTGTCCCACTGAACAAAATGGGCAAAATCCACCATGTTCTTCAGGGCAAGGATTTCATCTTCCATATACATTTATTTTTTTCAAGTAAGGCCTTAGCTTTTTTAATTGCACCTTTTTAACATCCAGAATTAATCAAATGGATTAAACCACTTAATCACATTTAGAGGTGCATAACCTTGTAGCCTTATGATATATTGGCATTATATCGCTGAGAGTATTTAGACATTCCCTTCCTTTCCATTTCAGACTGAATTCTGTCTGATCTTCAATGTATCTCTTTTAGTTTTTTTTCCTATTCATGCCCTCATGATTCAAAGCACTTAGCTGGGATTTGGTTGGGAAGAGGAATTTTGTTTTGTCAAGCAAAGAAGTAAATATCCTGTAATTCACAGAAACAACTAGCAATTGATTTACTCAGAGAAGAATCATCTTAGGTCTAGTACTTTCAGCATTAAACATAAAATAATTTTGGAGCCAAAACTAGGAAGTTTTCCTTAGTACATACTTAACCCATGTTCTTACCACTGTCCTTGAGAATACAGAGTAACTCCAGGCCAGATTCAACTTGCTGGCATAAGAAACAGTTGTTATGAAAGCCAGAGTCAGGTAAAAAGAAAAAAAAAAAAGAAGATAACCATCAATGTTTTTAACATGGACCTCAATCTTGTTCTTTAGTCTGGCATAACACACTTGTCTGTTAGACCTCAGACTGATTGGGCTTCCTTGTTTATAGTCCTGCTCTTATTTTTAGGTACATTATCAGGGATCTCAGCCTGCTTCTGTGTAGTAGCATATCCCAGCTATTGTATTCTGTTCCCTGTACTCTTATGACAATAGCTATGACTGTGTTGTGTTCCTGTGTTCAGATTAAAAGGATCATGTGGAACATTGCAAAGTAATGTGAAATCAAGGTATTTTTTTTAGTGAGGGAAATAAAAAAAAAAGTCTCTTCATTTTCAGTGTAGGATGAGAGACTGCCTTTCATTCCTTGGCAATTTTAAACACTGGATTAATAATTTATTTCTATTTGCAAAGCTAATTTGGAATCCACAGATCAGAGGGCTTGTATGTTTTATGAAGATTGTATACCGCAAATTTGGTCTTCTGCAGGTTAAAAATTTAAGTTATTTCATGTCATCTCTGGATATTTTTATCATGTGTTGAGGTGCTGAAATGAGCATCTCTCTTGACCTTCTTTAAGCTGAATCCTGTATTTTCCCTAGGATTTTGTAAAAGAAAATGGTCACCTTTATAAAGAAGGTCGCTTTATTCCTGAGGATTTTTTTAGGCGCTTTAATATTACCATTGAGGTCTACAAGGAGTTTGCAGACACATCGGATAAGAATGACTGCATTCTGCCTTCAACAGTAGAAACACCAGAGAATGGTAAGATGGCTCTCATTTTGGGGAACAGAATCTAAGTAGATATAAACGGGCGATTTCCCTTTGATTTCAGAAATGGTAAGGATCTGATGCTGTACCTCCGTGTCTCCTTTTTACTGACAGCTAAAATTACTACCGACGCCAAAGTTTGTATTTCTGTTCAAAGTTGAGTTCTATCTGGCAGTAAAACTAGTGCCATCATTTCTAGTGACATCGTTCCTTAATATAATCCAAATAACCTCACAAATAACCTCTGCTCTGTTTCTTTTAATCCCAAATATATCCTGGATCATCTTTTTACATTGTTCTTCTTATCTATTATTAATGCTCTATTTAAATTTGATAAGGCTGTAAAGGAGCCTAAGATTGCACTACTGAAAGGATAGGAAGGTAGGACAAGTTGTAAACTGCAGCTGCCTCAAGTCACCTCCATATTCATCTCACCCCTCTGAAAAGGGGCATGTTTTCTTCATTTAAAAATTTTAACAAGCTCAAGTCAGGCTCCTGCAGTTCATTCTCATCCTTCCAGTAAATGGAGGTTTTGTATTCTCTTTTCTTTTACTCTCTCTAGTGACAGCTAGTAGCTTTTTAATTAGGGCAATGTATCTGGTTACACCAGTAGTAACTAGAAGTAGATCGGTGCCATAACCTAAGAACTTGTTTAAGGCAATTGCTTTTCCAGAATTGCTATTCAGCAGCAGTTCAGTACGTAGACACATCTGCCTCTTAATAAGGCTGATTTTTTTGGCTCAATTCACTTTATGAACGGCCCTGTAGCCAGATTTTTAAAACAGATCTATAGCCACATCAGAGTAGCCCTATAGTCCATCATCTTATATAGAGGGAACTGTATTTTAAGTTACATAATGCTGACACGCTCATTTTCTATTTAGATTCCAGAGTCGCTGTCACAAAAACATTTTTGTTTCCTCCTGTTGCTGCCAGCTCCCTTAGGAATGACAGCATTGGCAGTAACACTAGCAGTAACAGTAAGTACAAGTGATTGAATTAATATATGTGTCTCCATTTTGTTCTAGTAGCTGGTTGTTACGAGGGCTCAGAGGAAAAGGATGTCATTAATTGTGCAAATTAATGGGAAGTTACTTGTGCCTGATGGTGTACTATGTGTTTCTCAGCTGCCATACCAAAACGCAATGAACTTATCTAATCAAAATTTAGAGGTGCTATCAAGTTACAGTGATGTGACAGCTCTCTACAACTTGGAGAGGGCAGGTCTCTTCGTTTTGGCTGTCCTGAGGTCTCGTTAGTCATATGGCCTCAGCAAACTTGGCTGTCCCAGACTCCTCATTTTAACCCTCAGAAAAGGAAGTTGCCCTGAACAGAGTAGCTGTCCTAAATCGAACCCAGGGTACTCACATGAACAGAGGTTGCCTGTACCTTGCATTTTGAGAGTGCTGTCAATCCCAAGCTTGACACCAAACCTGAAGACAGTCCCCATGTTTGCTTGTTGTAGTCGCAGTGGGGCCAGCTCTGCAGTCAGTGTGCTTTCAGCTGAGGTCAAGGACAAAGTCACTACACTTTTGGCAGGCTGTAATCTTCCCTCTGGTGTGGCCATCTCCATGCTTCTCATCTGTCTTGATCAGTGTATTACATGATTGGCCACTGACAGATAAGAGAGCCCAAAACTGTTGTTGTAAGAGCCTCAACATTACCCATCATGAGGTCAGAAGGGGTGCAGGAAGCTGAGGTGAAGAGAAACAGTGAAGTTTCTGGGGCTTTTAGTGACACCATGTACAACAAGGTGAATACTCTCTGGAGCTTTCCATGTGAACAAAAGAAGGGGATTTTCCTTAGAGGTTCCTGAAATGGTGATTAAAGCTTAACCACGTTGTTGTTTCCCTTGTTCCTGTTTCCCCAATGCATCAGGGTGATAATGTGTATCTCTTTTACAATTTCCCCCTTTCACTTCACAAGCATCTAAATGTTATCTGAATTTGTGATGATGAAGTGTGTGGCTGGTACTCTTTGTGCTTAAGAAAATATGGGCAAGGAAGCAGCCTAATCTAGCTGGGTGGGCAGGACAGTAGTTCCTTATGGTGGGACAGATAAGATTGAGCTTCCTCTCATGCTCCTTCTCTTGAGACTGTGTAATCTAGTTATTCTGTGGGGTTTTGTCACCATGCATGCTACTCTTAGTTGGCTCACAGCTGCTGTCAGATTTGAAGCCCATACTGATTGCTTTCTAATTAAGAGAAGGTCTTAAGTCGTCATTCCCCAGAACCCTCTGAGCAGAAGGTTGGAACAAAAACCACCTTCAACTCCTGGCTGCCAGCCTACCTCTCTGGAAAACAGAAGTCTCACTGCCATAGATTCCTCTCCAAGAGGTCACAGAGCTGGCTGCAAATAATCTGATGAGCCCAGGGCCAATTATGAGGCACTAGGAGGGGGCTAACGAGTGCATACCTGTCTCTCTCAGGTCTGAACATGTGATAATTCTTGCTGTCATTGCTAGAGGAAGAATATTCAGCTGCAGCCTGAAGCAATGGGAATGGATCGAGGAGCCAAAAGAAAGACAGGCAGATTACAGGAGCAGTTCAGATGAAAGGAGTTTGACCCAGTACAGTAACAGGAGGGATGCTGGGCAGCGCAGCAGAGTGTGTCTGTGTTGTGGAGGGAAGTACAGAAGCAGGCTTACTAATCTTGTTTTATAACTGGAACTGATAATCAAGTAGGAAAGAAGCCTAATTAAAATAATGCAGTAAGTCAAAGAAATTGCTTGGCTGGCCATATGCTGTACAGGTGTGTTTTAACTGATTATCAGTCTCTTAAGCAATTTATTGGAAAATTGGATATCAGTTAACAGCCTTATGCAGAAATGACATGAGGACTGCATGTCAGGGGCTGGGGACAGTTTGAACTCATAATCAGATTAAATTACATTAACTCAGACATTGGATGCTGACAGGTTACACACTAGTTATTTGCTTGGAGTTTTTTGCAGGGAGGGACCTGTGGCATCTTTATTGACATCTCTGTCTTACTCCCTGAAAATGGTCTTCAGTACTGATTTAGTTTTGTTTTGGCTTTAATGCTGAGTAAATTTTCTTTTTTACTTAAACCCTACCTTCTTGGAAGGAACAACAATGAATAAACCTTGTTACTTCTCATGTGAAGACTCCCCAGTACGGGGGACCCTCTCTGCTGATTTCAATACTGTGCTCAGAACAGCACCACTGGATTCAAATTTCAAAAAGGAAAGCATTTGGGCAGGAGGGGAAACCTGAAAAAAGCATCTCCAGATGCAAACTTCTGCAATATTTTTTTTAAATGACTCTGTTTAATATTAAACAGTTTTAAATTGAGCTATTTAAAATTAATGGTTTCTGGGCCATTTAGAAGCATTCACTGTTTGCAAAAGAATCCTTCCAGATTAATAATAAATTTTGAATCCATTAATGAAGTCTGTTTAGTCAGATGACTTGAACTGCTCTTAATTCTAAATTCAACTTAGACAAACCTGAAGTGCATCATCTAATAAGATCATTTGTGAAACAATTATAATAGAAAATGTATATGATATAAATTAGCTAAATTATGTTTTTTCATGTCATTGCTACATTTGTTGAAAGAGTCATATTTCATGACTTCATTGTTATTACACAACAATAAACTACTATAATAGAGTAGAATCTTGACTAAATCTACACCATAAGTCTTACCCCAAGTGTAGAATGGAACAATTATCCCAACCTAATTTTTTTTTGAATGACAATAGTGTTATTTTCATCCTTGTAGTATTGAAGGTAGATCTGTGGCAAGTTCCCACTCCATCTTTTCCCCCATAAAGTTCTCAAAACACTACCACCACCACCCTAATTTATTTAGGCTGGTTTGTTTTCTTCTCTTTGTGTTACGTGACTGTAGTCCAATTTAAATTCCAATTAACTGCTTAAGTCCCAGTCTTACTGATATTTCTCTGGATCATTTTACCATGCATAGTCTAGAGAATTCAGATGAGATGGTTCCTGTGTAAAGAACAAGCGTCAGGGTAAGAAGTCCTGAGTCCTCATCTCTTTCAGTAGTTGAACCAAACAATAAATAGTAGTCTTTTTTTTTTTCCCCATCAAATGAATCTCACGTGGCTCTGATTAAAGCTTGAACTTACAAGCTGTTACTAACACTTCTCACTCAATTTAGTGCCATGGTATAATTTATATTTTCATGGAGAGTTCAGTGTTGCTTTCTTCCATTTTTACCTACAATTTCCCCACAATAATTTAGCTTTATTATTCAGTACTGAACAGCTCAAAGAACATGTAAACACAGAGATCTCTAAAACTGCTTTTAGGAAGAAGGTCTACTTTTATAATTAAGCAAAGAATATCATAGTTTAATTCAGTAATTGCACAACTATTTGAAAATGTTCACCCATGGCTTAATGCAATTGGTGTTGCCTTCTGTGCCTTTGTTCCGTTGTTCCAACTTTACAGTTAATGGAAAACCCTAATGAACAGGCGAGAGCTGCTCTGCATTTTTATAGATAAGATCTTGTGGTAATTGTGTTGGAGCTGAGCAGAGGTAAACTGAAAATTCCTTTAAGACATGGAAAAAAAATGGCAAAAAAATCAAGCCACACATGGCTCAAGGTAGAGAGCAGCTCAATAACTTCATTGTGTAACTGAGTGGCTTTTAATGTAAATTTGTTTTGTTCACAGCTTAATATCCCAATATCTATGAAGACTATACATAAATCTACATCAGAAGAGCTCACTCCCTAAGAGTTTCTTCCATAAAGTGCAAAGTGAGAGTTCTGAGAGGTGCTGGCCTGTTTCCACTCCCTTTTTGCACCTTGTGGGATAGAGTCTATTTTAAGTGAATAATATGCTAACTGCAAAGCCAGCAGTTCTTCTGGCATTGCCCAAGGAGTTCACAAAGTTACTGATACACCTGGTTCCTCCTATTTCTTCTCCTAGTGTCTCTTTACAACTGCTGGGAGTGGGAATCTTTCTGTGTGGAGCTCTGAAGTTTTTAACAGAGGAAAAGGTCCCTATGAAAGGAATAAAACCCTATTGACAACCAGCTTGCTTTCCTTGTCTCCCTTTCCTTCATTAGGATACAGGTGCCCGGAAGGTTCTCCACACTGAAAATTCTCCAACCAGTTCTGTTTTAGATGTTACTATAAATAAAAGGCACGTGAAGGAACCTGCCATGACTCATTTAATTCTCTCCAGATCTTTCAAGAGACTTCTTTTCTGGACTTGAAAGTGAAATTAAATAATCTGCTGTTGTTTGCTTTTTAAGGTAGCTATGGTTACTTCACTTTCAACTTAATTCATACACTAAGAAGTTATGAAAAAAAACCCACCTGCTTTCATTTTTAAAAGGTAGGCTGGGGACAGTGTCTCAGTTTGACTGTATTTAGGCTCTGTCCCTGGGTTGTAGGTTCCCATGTGGAAAGCTAATTACAAATTCCTTTCAGTTCTCCACAGATACTGAAGAAGGCATCTACACTGGAGGTACCTCCTCAGAAAATGATATTTCCCCACTTTTAGATACCTTATTGTAAAGGGAGCTCTTCTGTTTTCTAAGACTCTCTAAAGTTTGTGAAAAATAATGGTAAAAATGAGGGTGCTAGGCTATCACTGATTGCCCTGCATCAAGAACATCTCTCTACATGTTCATGTAAAAATCAGCATGCTTGCCACAACATGCTGCCCAGCATTGCAGAGTAGGCAGTGGATTTCTAAGGTTATACACTCTACCATAACATTTTATCAAATAAATTATGCTCTATATGACCTGAAGAGTTTTTCCTTTGATTTTTTTTTTCCTGCTTTTCCAATTTTTCTGAAGTTGGCAGGGCAGAGTCTAGAAAACATGGCTATCCCCATGGGATTTACGTAGTTCAGTTGTATAACTCGGTGGTCTTTCACTGCGAAGAATGGCTAATGGTAGTAGGCAAATCAGTGTTGCATTTTTCTTGACTAGAGCACAAGAGCAATATAGGGATTTTATTCTGAGAATATGCTGATAAAACAATTCAGATAAAGTAATTACAGGAATTTTTTTTTACATGTTCAGGCTGGCTCCACCCCACTTGAGCTTGTCCAGATTTCTTGAAGGTCAGTTTTGCAAGCAAGCCTCCTCTCTGCCTAAACTGGGACAGACAGTTTGAGAAAAGATATGCCCCTCCAGTTAATTTCTGCTCATGGTTTTAATGTCCTAGAGAGAGAGGCAAACTAATCAATAGCCTCTCTTTTTCAGCTGATGTTCACCTCTGTAGAACTTTGTCTGCTATCTTTCTCTTCTCCTCTGCAGACAGATTTCTTTCATGGTAAGCTAGCATCGGTTCTGCTTGACCAATGTTTCCTTTTAGTGTGCTGAGCCTACCAGATGGAAATAGAATTCAAGCCTCTATAGTCAGAACCTAGGGTTTGTAAATAGTGTATGAGATACAGAGATATATGTAGTATATGAGTATATAAGATACAGACTTTTAGTTTTCTTACTTTCTAGTTCTGTCTACCATGACTCTAGAAAACACAGCTGAATTTGAGAGATAAAAAGAACATTTGTGTAAAAACTTGCAAAATGTCAACCAGAAAATGTCAGAGAGTTGAAAATGAGTTGCTAGCTAATTATGAGAACGCTGCTTTCTAAAGTGTTTTCTTAGAAGCTGTTTAATAATGTACTAAATGCACATTTCTTGACCCCAGTACCATACGTGCTTAGACATTTGCTGTTTGCATGGGTCACACAAATTTCTAGTGCTACCAGTCCATTTTCATTTCTGTATCTAGTCACCTACACTTTTCCAGTGCTTACAGTTTGGTTCTTTTCCTGTAATCTGACAATACACCCACCATTCGAGCTGCAGACACCAAATCTTGGAATGAACCAAACTGGGTGGATGGTGCCTAAACCAGCAGTTTCCTGTGGCTCATTTTGCATTTCAGAGGGTGGATCCCAGGGTGACTTCCTAGGACTTTTCACATCCTGCTCTTTATTAAGTGAGGGCCACATATTAGTCTCAGCATGTGTACGGTTCCCTGTGAGGGGAATGGAATGTCTTGCGTACATAAAAGAGTAAGACTGGAGCTCTCTCTTCCGTATAGAATGTAAAAAGCTATCCAGAAATGGTAGCAACAAAATAACACACAGCTAGATTTCAAGGTACAAGGGTTTGACCTTATTGAAGTCAGTGGGACCTTTCCAGACAGACATTAGAAGTGAAGTCAGGCTTAATGTGTTAAATAAGGCTTCATGTTGGTCAATCATTAGTGGCAAGGCAAAGTGTCTATCTGCAGTCAGTGGGATATGTCTCGTGGAACTTAAGCAAATGCATGAAGTGACAGATATATTCTCATCCAAAGAATTACTTTGTGTTACAAAATAAAGCCTTTAAAAATTTATAAACCCAAAACTTTGAAGTTGCGGGAAAGATAAAATTCTCTACAAATGGCAAAAAGAGAATTAGTGTTGGAACTGTTCAACACAGCTGTTTCAAAAGTGGGAGGAACATCCTTGTGGTCAAAAATTTCCTGTGAGATTTTGTATGAAGCATGTACACAGCACTTTGAAGTATCTGTTCTGCTATTTAAGATGCTGTTATGTAGGTGGTGCATAAAAGTGCTCTTGCTAATAACGTTGCCCTGAAGATAGTTTTCTGCTATAAATCTGTCTTCACTAACGAGACTATCTGTAATTACAGAAGAGGTACTTGGCTTCATTAGCAGCTCCAGCCTGCAAGGCATCAGCATAGCACTGACATCATTGCTGTCTCTTCTTATTGGCTTTATTTTGGGAGCCATATACTGGAAGGTAAGAAAGATTACATTTAATTGTTTACATAGTGATACTACATTTCTTAGCTATCAGGAGGCAGGAAGAACAGAACCATTCTGCATCTGAAAGCAAGAGACATCTCTTTTGATCTTCACTGAACTGTGTGACATGCAAATGTAGATCTATGCTGTCAAATTCTTGAATTCCACCACCAAAGTGCAAATCCTGTCTAATTAGCATGATGGCTGTCTAATTGGAAATTAAAACCCCTGGATTTCCCCAGTTTCCCAGTTCTTCTATCATACCTTGAGAAGAGGATTCTTTTGCTTTTGCCCCTTGTGCCACTGCCTACAATACAAAGGCTTTGATAGTAAAATTATATGAGTAGCAGATGTATGTTAGAGGACAAGATTTGGCCTACATTTTGCAAGATGACTTTGATATTGAAAATCTGAAGTGAAGTTAAACATACAACAATTGTTTAGGGAGTTGCTAAAGAAATCTTTAGAATATTTATATTTAATGCATTTTCTTCTTAGAAAACACATCCCAAATCCAGACCAGAAAGTGGTGAAACTACACAGTGTCATGACTGTCAAGAGGAAAATGAGATAAGGTATATTGTTCTACTTTATGTACTTACATACAAATGTAAGTTTATCTTTGAAAGCTACTTCTTGAAGGTTTCTCTAACTCTAAGACAAACACAAAAAAACCCAAACACAGGGTCTCGCTGTAGGGCAAAATGTATGCTTAGGGTGTGTGCTTCAAAGGAACTCCTAGTTTAAATATAAAAATCGACATGGGGGAGATTTCTGTATACAAAATTTTATTAAGAGGACATTACCTTCATCTGTCCTTACTGCCATGGTGAGAAAGGATTTCTGAGACTTACAGGGGAAGCAACATAAAAAAGTTAATTTTGTCATTTGCTGTGTGGTGTAAAGCTAGGTTGATATTATATAAATAAATAGAAAACAATGTCTTCCTGGCTGTGTTTCTAAATCCTTTTAAATATTTTTTACATTAACATTTTTTATGTTCTTTCACTTTTTTTACATTCCCCGGGGTATAAGCACCTATGTTTTCTGTTTTGTTTTTTTTTTTTTTTTAATGTCCTTATAAAGCTAGTGAGAACTCATTCAAATCATAGTAACTTCATAAGGTCATCCTGAAATTATTCACAGCTCTGTCCATACTTAAACACTGCTTTATCTGATTTTTAAACAGAAAAAATTCTGTGTAACTCAGTCAATCAAGTATACCTTACAAATAACAGTTGAAGACATAAAAGGTTGCTTGGACATCACTTGGGCAAAGAAATCTGTGAAATTCAGAAAAGGACTTAGGGATATTTTAAGTTAGAATAGTTCATGCTAAAGCATTTTGAGGGATATTATTTAACCTCCTATTTCAGGGTGTTTGGTCAAATTTTAACTATGAGGGATTAAGGGAAAGATCTGATGCAGGTGGCAGAAGGACACAACTTACCCTGTAGCCTTCTTGCACTGTGTGAAATGCCTGGTTCTTTCCACTGTTGAAGCAGGAATAGACAAGGTTCTGATCTAGCAGTTTTGGTCACAGGAGCTGAAATTTTCAGTGTTTAAAACTTTCTAGAATAATACATTCTTATAACAAATTTTCTTCATGTACAGTACCTAGAATGGAAGACTGTGTATTCACCAAGTATATTAGCTGCTACAAATAACTCGTCCTACACCTCATCCTCACAGGTATTAAAACTTGTGAAATGAAACATGCATCCTCCTTTTAACTTCACGAGAAATATAAAACATTGCTTTATAGGAGGAAAAAGGAAACAGAACAGTTAGGTAAATGCAAGAAACAGCCTTAACAGGAAATTTAAACATGTTACATTCTCCAGTGGATATCTTCTTAAATATATGGTGTAAGTTTTTTCCTCCCTCTTCCCTGAGAAATTTTTAATATTCCTCTATAACTAGGAAGACCTATTATCAAACATAAATTCTAATGCTTTGGGTTCCCTCTTATTACATGTAAATGTTTTTATTGTAACTAACTGATAAAACATTCCATTCTATTTCCTCAAAACACTAGCACTGTAGTAATAAATTACTCCTTTTTTTCCTCAGTATGTTGCAGCAAAAAGAAAAAGAACATCTACAGGTGTAGCTGTTGCTTTTTCTCCCTCAACACTGTTACTGTTTCGTGTACTGGTGAGTTGTTTTGTTTGAGTCTTACCATAGGCTTAATAAATTTTGGCTGCTGAAATATAAAGTGATTCAGAGTCCATCCGGGGAAAAAAATAAAATAAAGCTTGTTATTGGTAGGCTTCATTTGTACCTAGATCTTTCACTGGTAATGTAATTAAACCTGTATCATTAATTTAGAATTTGACTTTTAACCTGAACGTTACAAAATGCAATATGCCGGAATTCTGAAATGAAGCACAGCTACTGCTTCTCGTTTTTGGCGTGAGAGCCAATACAGAGAAGTCTTCAGCTGTTATCCTACAGCTGTTTCAAAGCAGCGTGACCTAAACCCCACAGTCCTTAAACTAGCAGGTGAGTGTAGGAGAGCTTCTATTAACTGTTGTTTACTCAGCACAGTTTGCAGTCTCTGTGGCCCTACCAGACACATCATTCTTCCTTTAGTACGTGAGAGTGAGCAGCAAGGGCGAGTGAGCTGCCTCTGTCCTCTGCAGAACGGTGCACGCCTCTGGCGAGGGGCTTCTTACTGCAGGAGTTGTGCTGTGCTTAACCTATGGCATCTCTGGAAAGGGTCTGGAAGATTCAGGCAGAGCTGAATGCTTCGTTTCATTGCGTGGGTGGAAAGAGCATCTTAAGTGTGTAACAGGCCATCCAGTTTATCCTGCAGCAATCACTCTCAGGTGTATTCCACAGTATTGCAGTGATCTTAGCTACAACTTGAGAGATTTCCAGTCTCTTTAACCACTTTGTTCTAACATCCGCTTACCAAGAAGGGAAGTCACTGCTGCATTGGACAAGTAATTTGATTTTTCAAAAGGTGTAAACTCAGTTTTATATCGGCTTGGCCAGATGACTTCTAAGGGAATTTTGCTTACCAAAATGCACAAACCTAACAGTTCTGTAAAACCATGAGAGTTGTTTCATCACCATAGATGACGTCCATGAGCTTTTGCAAGCAAGTGTGTTCTTGGACCAGGAAAGTACATCTTATAACAGTAATTTTTGTTTCAGAATAAAGGAATGTCTGTGTAATTACCTGTTTCTAAACTTATAAGAAAAAATGTCTGTGTTATATGTCTGTGAAAAGCTCTACTATTCAGTAATACAGAGAGGAAAACTAAACAGCAAAATTATAATTTCCTTTTTTCTCTTCAGGCAGGTAACAGTTCCATGTTCGCTTCATAAATGAAGCAGCTTTAAGCACATTCGTATTCCTTCTGGAGTGACAGACTGAGTCTGCATCTGTTGTTGCTGCCCATGACTCCATAGACATGATACAGAAATGAGGACAATTTGTGTTTGTTACTGTGAAACCAACACTGAATTGAACAACGACAAGAAGAGTGTGCACTTAGCAGGACTGTATCTCATGTGAATATCTACCTTGTGTGACATTTGGGGATTTTTGATTGCATTAATATTTACAGCCGACTCTGACAAACAAAGTACATGTCCTGAACAAAAAGCATCTTTCAAATGCCTCCAACTATGTGTAATCATTGAAAGTCATAAATACCTTTGCATCCTTAATTTAAGTTCTGTGTCCTCTACCTTACCTTGGTGTCTTCGGATGAGTTCTCTGAACTGATGGAAAATGCAGAAATGGATACAGATAACATACTCTTCAATATTGTATATAAAACTTGAAAGCAAAGTCATGCTATGGACCCGTGTTCTATCCTTTTACTTATAAGGAGCTGTGTTTATGCCTGGCAAGGGTCGTGCATACAGCAACATGTGGTGTTTGTCGGGTGCCAGGTGGCTGGTTGCCCACCCGAGAAAGCCTCAAGAATTTATCAGCGTTGGTGGTCTCTGTTCAGGAGAAGCAAATACTGGATGAAGACAAAGTAAACAGGAGGTGAATGTACCTCATGGAGCTTTGAAGCATTAAGAGTAACTGCTGGGTATGTGAACACTGGTGAAATTTCCAGCCATGCCAAGAGAAGAGAAAGTAGAGAGTCTGAATTGCGTTCAAACATCAGAATAAAGACAAACCCATGAAATGCATTTTAAATGCTGAAAATGCATGTCATCGATACCTTGTCTTTAAATGTATAGCATAGAAAATCTGAAAGATCCTGAGAGTGTATTTAGCTTTTACTTACATGAGCTGTAATTAATGTTTGCATTGTGTTTTAAATGATTAGTAAGCTTTAATATCCTGTCATTCTTCACTCTTAAAGTTAATTATCTGGAAAGAAAAGAGAAAGGCTTTATTTCTCACTTGTCTTCTGCATCTATTGCTGTTATAGCATCCATGGAATCTGTACAGGACTGATGTACAGACATACATTTTCAAGTAAATCCTAAAAATACCATGGTAAAAGTTACAAGTGTAGTTGTGCATCTTTTCATCCTGGCTCTTTCCAAATAATGGGTATGAATTATTTATCTGTATTAGGGGTTTGTACTTCAGAAGGTAAAGGTGTCTTACTTCAGATGATGTCATCTGTCATCAAACCGACCAGGTCAGCAAGAGTTTTAGCTTAAGTAACTTGAAAACTTAAAAAAAAAAACCAAACCACACTTGTAATGTTTTTTTATAAGGTTGGAGTTCTCTTTAAAGTATATCATTATTTAATTTTTTAAGAATTCTTATGGAAATTTTAATCATCTGCTGAGTTTTGCAAGAACCATGCATAAAACAAATATGCCATACATATAATACATACGTGTGTGTGTGTGTACTATTGGTTGGTAAAACTGATTCATCTTTCATACTTACCAAAAGAAGAAAGTTCAAAACCTTACTATGTTTGGTGACAGAGCTTATGTGTGCATGTAGCTACTCTGCATGGAATTTTGACCCTACCGAGATCAATGTCAACACTTCTCGTGAACTCACTGGTACAAGGATTTTATCATGGGGAACTATTTTTTTATTTATACTGAGGCCTTTTTGCACTTCCTGGGTGTCAGTAAAGTGTCCTCACCTCCTTCTCAGCTGGTATAAATTGGCGTAGTTCCATTAACATTAACAGAGCTTTGGGGTTTGCACCATCTGAGGAACTTCTCTGAGACTAGATCAAAAGAAGCTTAATTTGAGAATTAGGCCTTCATTTTTATTCAGAAGATGCTGGAGCACCCATGACTTAATAAGAAATAATCAAGGTTGCTCATGACTTCTAAAAAGCAAGTGCATTGCAAATTTTATCTCTGGAAAAATCAAACAACAGAATTCCTCATCTGCAGCTCGGTCTTATTTGACATTGTGTAGTTCTTTACTCACAAGTCCCTCAGACTTTTTATTTCAAACTTATTTAAGAGTTACGCTGAAAGAAATGTCAACATGACCTAATTGATGGGAAATTTGCACTTTACTGGTAATGCAGAGAATAACTCTATTGCTTTTGGCAGAGTGGAAAAGTATCCACAGTAAATGGAAGTAATTATCCTTACACATTTTTCAAAAACCTTAAATACTTCATGTTGCTATACAATACATTCTCAAAGCAAGCTTATGCATTTGAAGTTTTACAGTATTTTTCTTAGATTCATTTAAACAAAAATCTTGTATTTATTAATATTCTTTGTTCATAAAAATGTTAGTTTTCCTAAATGCATTTTTTCCAGAAAATCAAATACACAATAATGTTGCACATTGGTGTGCCCCAAATTATACTTTGATATTCAAATTGCACAATGTTTTAGGCTCCTTAGTCTACTATTCAATACTATTCAATAATAGAAAATATAATTTATAAATTGAAACATATTAATCCCAGATAGACTTCTGCAAAGTGTTCACATTCCAAGAGCAGCATCTTAAAATAGTAGCTAAGTCACTTTCAAATAATGTCAGATACTTTAATATCTTCCACGGAGCAAGGCAAATTTAAGGCTACATGAGAATAGAAAGTTAATGTATAAACCTTCCAAGTTCACACCACAAACACTGAACTTTGAATATGCATTAAAGTAGTACAACACATGGAGTGGCAGAACTGTTGTTGAAGCTTATGGTTTTCTTGTCCTTCCCACCCCCTTTTGAGAGATTTGAACAAAACTTTGGGTGTTCTCCATCATTTTGCAAAGCAGAAGGATACTTTCATGGATACAGTGGATGGCATGGCACTTGGAAATGTGATTGTGAAATTATTTGAAAATTCTGTGCCCAGTTTTTCTACCCCTTGAGGAAGCCCTTACTTCAGATATAGTGAAATTTTGAAGGACTACTGACTTGTGAGACATCTTTGAAATCAGTGGAAATAGAACAAGTTACTGTTCAGTGGGAGTAGTGATGGCAGAAATGGTCCTTTAATTGCTTCTTTATCCAGTCTTAAGCTATTTAACTTCTGAAGAGTGAACACTTTTCCAGCCTTCTTTTGGGGTAGACACAGCCCATGCATCAACACAGAAAACGAGCGCCCTTTCTCTTAAAATGAAACTGGGGAAAAGCGAGTGTTGTATTTTTTATACAAAAGTCGACAAAATTTGCTTTTCAGATATCTGTGGTTTTGTGAGAAACTAACATTTAAAGTTTCCTTTGGAGTAGTTGGACTTTGCATGCAATTAATAGTGGCCTTGTGAGAATAAAAAAAAGATAGTGATATACTGAGTAACTCAATGTGTTACTTTAGATGTGTGTTTACTTGAATAAATTAATGGTACTTATTTAATCACAAGGTCATTTTATAAGCTTATAAAATGTGCTTTACTATGGAGTATGTGTGCAACCTGCACATTTTTTAGATTCCGATCTTCACCAGCTGTTTTCTCTGTTGCTCTCTCTTTGTAAAATGCTGAAACTGTTCAGTACACACAATACAACTATTAAATTGAAAAGCTAACTGTATATATAAAACACGGGTATTTTGAGTTAGATTTACATTTAAGAATTATCCAACATTCTTCAATTCAGGAATCTGATTCAACTGTCTGTTAAATGCAGATCTATGGTAATGGTGGCATGTTGCTATTAAGTTATCAAATTGATGGAACGCGGAAACTTCAGACTCTTTA